TGATTGTTCATCTGAAAAAGCATGCCATCTTCACATTTATTCGATTGTTTTTTCGCTCAAATCACGATGCATCGGACCTGTCAAATCATTATTGAGGTTAAGTATACTGGGATTGAGTAATTGGAGATGAACCTGAGGTTGAGCAGTGGCCATTCAACTAAAGCCCGGCGAAGCGTTTCGCGTAATAGTCTAACGCTGGGCTGTGAGCGAGTGACGCGGCTCAACCCCGGGTACATGTGACGCGCGTGGAGTTTATCCCAAGCTGGGGCGGAGTGGCGTATTTCTAGCTGGGATACGGGTTCCGAGTCGAGCTCGAGCGGCGTGATTTCTACCCGGGAGGATCCGAGTTTAAATCCCGGTCGGGTAGAATGGTGAGATCTAACCATTTTAAAGTCTTGATCATCATCGCAATATACTCAACCGAGTCGAAGTTATGTAAAATAACAATAAAAAAACTTCATATCGGAAAGTTGAAAAAATTATCATTATGTCGATTTATGCTGGTGGGGCGCGGCGCTTACGGTTCAACCAACGGTGTCCGTAACTTTTGCGCGACCAACGGAGTGTTAAATTCGAACGGCGCGTCGCTACTACACGCCAACTCTTATAGACGCAAAGTCCAATATTTCAATGCGAAGAAGTTCCGGAATATTATTCTGTAATCGAGAATTAAATATTTCGGATTACCCCTTCTGCATTTCCCTTCATTCCTATCACTATGAAACGGTTTCCCACATCTTCCTTCACTGCCCTCTCTATGCCTCTCTCAGAAGTTACTGGACTTCTGAGATAGGTAGGTAAACCTACCTATGCCCTTACATTTTTCCTGGTTTGGACGAATTTGTAACAAGTATTTTACTGTCTAGTAACGACACAAAGTACCTTAGAGCGATTTTTTATTTTACCAATCAATGTTTTCCTCTACCAGAAAGTACTGTATGATTTAACCCAAGAATTATTTGAATGTATTGTTTAAATTTTTGATTTAATGTTACCACTCGACTGCTTTGTTCTGTCTATTTTTGAGTTTGTTCGAGTTCATTTTCAATTTAACGGCTTCTTTTACAAGAGACGGAGGATCTGGGGAATCTGGACAATTAATACGACAAAGTGTCTTTTTTACTTCTTGAAATAACCTCTGAGAACAGCCAGATTCTGGGTCGATTTCCTCTTATCAGGATTGCTCTGTGACTCTTTGAATTCTTTTCACAATGTATAGTTTCATGACATATTTATCTGTGATGTGCCGCCCCCCCCCCCAAATGTATGTTCTGAGTTGTTTTTAATTTTATGTTGTGAACCCCCATGCTATAGGAGCAACGTAGGTCTCCTCAGAAACATTACTAATAATTAAATGAATAAATAAATAAATATTTCGGATTACGGAATATGATTTCCCAATCCAGAGTATTATATACCACATTCGAGGATATTTTATTCCGTGCATTGAGGATTCACTCATATATGCTTCCAACACATCAAAAAAACACATCAAAAAGTCAGTACAGGACTAAATATTCAATAATTTAGATAACTATTATTGAGTTGCCACTGTCCTACATTAGAAAGACAAAGTCCTAAAATAACTGAAGATATGTGCTCGCATAAGGATTTCAAACATTCTACGACTATAATACCGAATATTCCCGGAATATGTAATATAAAACGAACGTTTCAATAATTAGGAGCACTTTAGTAAGATATATGCGTCTAATAAGAGATCACAATATCTATTCTTTCCAAATGCATTGCATCATTGATTCGTTACTTCCTTTATCTCCAAACCGCTCTTATGTCATTAGTGTCACTCAATTATTTTTTTATTGATTCGTTTTCCTTAATTTGATACGTTTCTTTGTATTTTCTCTTCGTGCTGATTTTATTTTAATAAACTCACTCCAACTCGGCTTTGTGACTGTTATAGCTGGGAGAAGTTGAAGAGAAGAAAATCGTAAAACGGTTGGAAAATAATTTGGGGTTAATGAACTTTTAGTTAATCAAACCTACACACGGGAAGATATATCTGGAGTGAGTATATTTTATACCGGACTTAATTATACGCATAAACCTGAATCGAGAATAAAATATACTTGATTGAAGTATATTATTCTTGATTCGAGGATAGAATAGTAGCGAACGGGCGCTTCGCGCCCGTCGCTCGGTTAATTTATACTCGGAGGGAAATTTTTGATAAAAATTATCCTATCGATCTATAAAAGTGTATCATGAGTCATCGTTTCCTCATTTCTATCCCGAAATTTAGCAAAAATTAATATATGATGATGAAATTTTATTCTACGTTAGAGAAATTTTATCCTGACCCATAATAAATTTTACCCTTCCAGTCCAATAATTTTCATGTAGATAACAACGAAAATTCTAAACCGGTTGGTAAATTTTACCCTACCG